CCAGAGCCTTTCACTGCTGTTACCCCGCTGCTGATGGAGCTATTCACTGGCATGTGTAAAGCAACATGCTGCAGTGAGTGTAGGCATAGACAATTGTAGACAAGGTCTTGCAGAGAGGTTTTGGTAACATGTCATAGCCACCACTGCCTTTGTGGCATGCTGGGTTAATCTATTAAGATTTTGCCTGTGGTGGACTTGCCTTCTGGTTTTGGTGACGTTTGAAAAATATGCTTGGTGATTTTGTCCTACTCCCCGTTCAATTGCATCAGAAAACCACTACAAGACTGACAGCCTCAGCTGAAGAGGCCTGAGACTGGAACAGCAGGAATGTTCTATGTCAGGACTGAGCTGCATTAGCAAAGCTTTGTGCATAGTGCTTACTCAAAAGCCAATGCTTTAGTCTCTCAATTTCATCAGCATAATATTTAGGGGGGAAATAACCCAGAGTAATATTATTTTTTGTATTTTAAATTCTACACTAGCAATTAGAAACTGTTAATAAAAATAGAGAAGGACCTTGCTTTCAGTAATTTTCTAAGTATAAGCAGAAGCACTCTCTTAAAAGCTTTAAAATAACCTCTGTACAGGCAACGAAAAAAGGCTTCTATTACTTGGAAAGTGCTTTTGTCCCTCTGCAACCATTATTCACACATACAAAGTCACATTTGAATAAACCCAAATGACCTGCCTTACATACAATTCAATACTATTTATTTTTATATAGAATCCTTAATACACAGCATCAGAAAACACTTCACTGAGAGAATCAAGAGTTAGCTAAAGAGGAAAGGAAGCTTTTTGGGTGAAATTGCATAAGAAGAAATAGGGAAGACAGAAACAGCCAGTTTCAGATAGATGTGGATGAGTATGGGGGTTTGTCTACATGGGGACATTCAGGAAAATTAATCCCCACATTCACCACTCTTGTAAGGATATGATATATTTAGTATTAAGTATGCCTTGTGAGATATCATCTGAAAACTCATAGTCTGCAGAATATTATTATCCTGTTGCAATGTGTGTGACAACACTGCATGTAAAATTATGAGATTTTGCTATATGATTGTTACTGAAACATGTATATGAAGGAGGGAAAATGCCCCTAGCCACCTTTCTCCTCCTTCCATCTCTCTGCTCATGACAACAACGACTCTCAAAGAACTGAACAAAGGGGGAAAGTGGTCCCAGGCTGGAAAGGGACGCAGATTAAATGTATTGCAGCTCATGGTGAGACAAACCTTTTGCTTTTAAACCTATTAGCCTTGGTAAAGTTTCGGAGTTAGCTTGCATGTTTATCCTTTTATTTCTTTTGTAACCTATCCTGACTTATTTGCATCTATACTTGTAATCACTTAAGATCGATCTTTCTCTAGTTAATAAACTTGTTTTATCTAAACCAATGTATTTTGGTTGAAACGCTTCGGAATCTCTACTTAAGTCAACAAGCCTGGTGCAAATTCATTGCCCATTGTTGGAATGATGGACTATCTATGAGCTTACACTGCCCAGGAGGGTCCTGAACAGTACAAGACCCACATTTCTGGGAACGAAGGCTGGGGCTGAGGGATATGTGGGTGTCATCCTGTATGTAGTTCATGGATGGCTGGGCATAACATGCATGTATTCAGCAGGGAGTGACTTTACATGCTGGTGGCTGTGAATGAGCAAAGCTTAGAGGGGTTTGCTGTTCACCAGTAAAGCAGTGTAAAAAGCATCCCATGCTGGAGAGCTAAGGGACACAGCAGTTCAGGTTCCACCCTGGGGAATGTCACAGAGTATTATCCCCATTTGTAACTGGGGCACAGAGAGATTAAGTGATTGGACACAAGAAGCCAGTGTCAGAGTGTGAAGTGACCTGCTCTCCTGCGTCTCAGTCCAGTGCCTTTACCACAAAACGATTATTTCCCTCTTAAACAGCTTCTCTTCAAGCCCTCAAAGTGCCCTGGAAAATAATGGAGTCATTTGGCTGACATGTGTGGTCAGATTTGCATTCCGTTAGTTTTATTCAGCAGTTCATCCATTCTTCTCTCTATAGCTGGTTTTCCTGAAACACTCAGTGCCAGATCTGAAGCTTCTTTTTCAGGAAACCCCATCAAAATCTGCATGAGCCACATGGCCTCCCAAGTGTTGAATTTACAGTATGCGGTAGAGTCTTTCTACCAAACTTACCATTCTGTTGGTGAAGTTGCTGAAGTCCTTCACTAAGATATGTTTGATCATCTCTGGCTCGGACACCAACACGTACATTCGCCGACCGATGTAGTATCTATAAAGGAGGTGGAAAACCATTTTAGCACCCATAGCCTTCCCTAAGATGCCTCTGTTGGCTGAAATACGTTTTTTGTAAATAAATCATATCAGGTTTCCATTCTCTTTGGCAGTTCAGTATCTCTCCACCTCTCTGAAACATTTAAAAAGATTAAGCTGTCAAGTTCATTGGTATTTAAAGGAACCAATTAAAAACCTTTTATCCATTGTCATCAACAATTAAAACACTTGCTGAGAACTAATTAAAGAACCAGTCCATCATCTACTTACTCACAGCTGCTTGTTACATACTGTACTCGATGCATCATAACATAACACAATACATTATCACTAAAGACAGACTGTAAAAGAATGGGAAGAAAACACTGATTAAAAAAGAAAAAAGCGCACCCAACCAAACAAAAAAGAATTGCTAGAACCTCTGTCCAATCTAAATCTAATGCCTTTCCACTACTAGGCTGTATCTGCATTAAACATTTCTACCCTGAACATTTTCAGAAATTCTCCCACTGTTGACTGGACAATGGTGCAGTTCCACTGCTGCTAACAACAATGGCATTGCTGGTGTAGACCACCTAAGAGGTGTTTTTATCACAACAATAAACAAGTGACAGAGGAAGGGTGGGGGCGGGGTGGGGTGAGGAGGGGAAAAAAACAGTATTGCCTCCAAGTAAGAATAAGACCACAGTGTCTTCTCTTTACCCTACATAGCTTTGGGGAGGGAGCTATCGTTTCCTGAATCTGATCCAATGGCTCCTGCTGGCTTCTCAGACAGTGAATTGAGATTCTTTATCTGCTTCAGATGTAGAAAAAATATAGGTCTGTTTCTACCTCATCTGCACCAGTCTAACCAGATACCACAGAATAAATATGTTTGTTAACACTCAGACTTTTCTCCTGAGCCCTGGCATTTGCATTCACAAAGAATGTTTGTAGCCTCACTTGGTACAGCGTTTCAGACCACGCTTCAGCCAGGAAGTACTGAAAATCTCATGATGAAAGACTGATCTCACCATGATAAAACCCTGAGAGGTACAAACAATTGTCTGAATTTTTATCCATGACAAAACAATGAACTTCTCCAATTCTTCCCACTACTAGTTTGAAGTCTCTGCAGAGACACCGAAGAACAAATGGCTATGAAAACTGAGCTCCCCTTTCATTCCTTCCTAGACATGATTTTCTCCAGATAAAAGGTTAGGCACATTGGCAAGGTAGTAGGGATAGCTTGCAATTCTGTTGCCTGTATTATTTAGTAGAGAGGGGACCTTGGTCCCCTGAGATGCAATTCTAGTATTTTTTAACAAATCTCAAATTTACTTTAACACATAATAAACCTGAATCATAATATGTTTATTTGAACCTAATGTATCTGCACTGGATATAGATGCTTGTAATAGAGTCCCTGTTTCTGGGGCAGTACTCTTCAACTGACTCATTATTTGAAATCACAGCTGTCATTAGCACCTGGCAATGAAGTTTCCAGCCATTCTCTCTTATTGTTTGTAATGATGAATCCAGTTACAAAGAAGGGAGGGGCATAGGAGGGAATGGATGGAGAAAATCCACTGATGTACCCAGGGATTAAAAATACTAAAAGGCTAAAATTGCTTTTATGCAAAGAAGAGCTGCCTTTGTGCTCTCAACCTGCATTCAAGAACAATGGTTGTAAGGGAGGATCAGTGTATCATTGCTTTCTTTCACCCCAAAACAACTGCTCCCCTGATGGCTCCTTTCTGTTTCCCCAAACTGTATGTTTATTAATACTTTCTTCCTAACTTTTTCTGGGAACTAAAAAAGTGGGGATATGGGAAAGCACTTTGGGAAAACTCAGTTCCAAGAGTCACAGTAATAATCTGTCATGTATCAGGAGGTAGCCATGTTAGTCTGTCTTTAAGGTGCCACCGGATTCCTAGTAATAATCTGCTAACTCTTATCATCTATGTTTACAAAGAAAAGAAAAGGGATGAGGGGACCTGAAGGTCAAGGAAGACCACATGAGCTTTCCTACTAGGCACATGCTTAACTTTAAGGATGAAAGTTAAAATCAAGCATGTGCATAAGTCACTATAGGATCAGGGCATTGTTCTCAAAACCAAGAGGATATTTCCCTACCTGTATTGTTCTTCAATACCCCCTATTAAGTTAAAAACTTCTGAACAATAATCTATTATTTCCAAATAAATAACCATTTACGTCTGCCATATAGCTTTATATTCATCTAGTATTATTATATAGCGATAGTTAGTTAGGATTATTATTGGGGGGAAATGAATATTCTTGTCATATTTTACTAAATAACAGTTTGAGAGAAAAGAAACTCATGGATTCACAGCTAATTGAGGATAGTCCCTTTTATTACGTTTCTCCAGGTTAACCTTCCTCTTGTGTGGTATTTCTATTTCTTCGCTACATTCATCTTTTCATAATCTCTTCTGTTTAAATGGGAGCCACCCAACATAAGTAAAACCCCCACATTTTTAGGCCAGCAATTTAAAGACAAAGATCTATTACTTGTCATGGTAGAGAGGCCTAGTATCCTAATTTACCATAGTTTGTGACCGGACTGTGCTTCCCCCATGGGAGAAATGGTACCGTTTCTATAGGAAGCGCAGGGTTGTGAGTTATACGGCCCTCTGAGGGGTACTACTGTAAGAAGTTATCCAACAGCTGTTCAGCAGAGAACACAGACTTACTTACAAGACTTACAGAAAAGCCAGGCAACCTTTCACTGTCTCCCCCAAACAGTGTGCAGTTCAAGGGAAGTGAAACGATGATATATTAAGAAAAAGAAGTTAATCTGTATCCAGAGCATTTTAATAACTAAAGAGGCTCCCA